TTGTTTACGAAGAAATAAAAATGCTCTTGCACGGACCTGTCATGGATTCCAAATCTTTGTGCAAAGTTTTAATCCCCATATCTTACCCGGTTTTTGAGATACGCTTGTCTAAACTGAACAACCAACAACAACAAACAACAACAAGAAGAAGAAAATTGAAACGTGACTTTTTTATAAATCAAGTACCGATTATGCGATTTAAGCTATTTCCTGGATACATGCTCTTTGTGACGATACAATTAATCTGATATGTCAAAGTTGGGTCGATTGAAATAGAAAAGTGAAACATGAAAATCCCAATGTATGGGCATAATGCAGGACAACCGTGTCATCCCTATATTACTAAGTACTACCGTACTTAGTGAATTAATGTTAATGTACTACGTGCGAGGGACATACCAGATTTCAATGAACCCTAGGCCTTCGCGTAGTGCCCTCGCTGGCCGCTCGGGGACACTAACAAACGCGGAGCCCTCGGTTCATTGAAATCTGGTATGTCCCGAGTATACGGAGTACATAACATGTTTAGTGCAGAGCAAATCAGCTCCGTATAACGCCGCACAGCCGCGTTCCAAGCAGAGGGAATTTAAAGATGCGAGAAAGAGACGAGAGCGCAAGACCGTCATCTCGTGCGGGACTATTGAACGCCGAACGCTAGGATACGCTGCTCCGCCGCTCTAGCTACTCCGCTGCGGGACTGTCCTCCGCCACTCATCCGAAGAAACGCGACAGGAGACCTGCGCGAACCATCACAATCAGAGAGAGGCGAGAGTGGAGAATTCAGCGCTGTGCGGGCTGACCTATATCCGAGGCGTCGCTCGTAGACTTAGTAGCTTTGTGTCGCGCGCACTCGCTACGCGGAGCCCACATTTGCGTTGCGTGCGGTGGTTTGTGGCGGGCGTGAGCTGCGCTGGCTCGCTACTCATACTATGTAAAGCATGGCAAGGAGGGAGATGGGCTCAAGCAGACACAGAAAGCAGACACAGGAAAACTGTCTTGTGGACAGAAAATCATAGCATATCAGTTATTTTGATCTACATTTTGTATGCCAATATGTTTTGCGGGATACATTTCCTCAATGAACATGCTGTTTAACTTGTTGAACATCAGCAGAAAAAACACAAGGTTTCATATCATGTATTTTCATGTTACTATGTTAGCTCACGAGGTTCATATGGAGAATCTAGGAACCTCGTCACTAACAAATCTGATTGGTCGATTCGAATCAGCTATGCACTAAGATCCTCTATGATCCTCTATGTAAGACCAATGAAGTACAGCAGGTGAATCAGTTCCACATATTGAACTGGGCCCCAGATGGTAGCTGCTCCAGCGTCAAGACCATCACTGATGTCATCGATGACGTCGTTAAAGTTCAGATCCGAACTGGCAACAAACCTATTTTGATACATTGCAGGTTCACTTCTATAGTATAGCTATACTTATGGTTACATGTGTCTCTCTCCTGTGTCCAGTGATACAGTGAGCAGGTCGGGGATGTTCTGTGCCATAGCCACCACCATTGAGAGGTGTAAGACAGAGGGAGTGGTGGATGTGTTCCAGGTGGTCAAGGCTCTCCGTGTACAGAAACCTGGAGCTGTACGCACTGTGGTACGTCACCCATAATCTGTCTTTGTCACTGCTCACTGCCCTATCTCCCAATCCTTGTCTCTGCAGGGACAGTATGAAGCTATTTTTGATGCAGTTCTTGTGTTTTTGGACTCTTTTGAAACATACTCGCAATAATCATGTTTGTTGATTAATTACGTCATTTCCGCGCTGCAAGCTGCACACTGACGACCCTTTATAGCTCGATGATATGTATGGCGGTTGTCTAGTCTAGACCACTAAAAGACTGGTAGCTAGAGGCTAAGCAGTGATCGAGTGTTCGTGCTCGGCGGATAGTGCAGTAACGGAGGAGGTGTCGAGTGCAGAGGACCAAGAGTTCGACTGGACAGCGGCAGCAGCGGAGGTTGCTGATGATGGTGCAGATCAAGGTTTGTTGCTTTTGCTGCCGACGTACACACACAGTCTGCTCTGGTGGTGGGCGAGGGTGGCTGGGGAAGGAGTAGCTCACCGTGCAAGAGCTGGCTCAATGTGTGTGTAGTCGAGGATAGCTACTTACGGAGGAGACCTCGTCTATGAATTATCTCAGGGAGACCCTGCATGTGGGCATGAAGCTAGTCGGCTGCTAAGACGGTGATCCGTGTTGCAGGCGTTAGTTTTTTCGTGTTTTCGAGCACTTGGTCACACCTTGTAGTGTGAGCAAGTTATGGTTGCACACTCAAATTGATATGATCATGTGACAATCACCTGATCTTGTCCCAAGTGACTTATCCTCAAACTCAAGAAGGAAAGTATTGACCCAATTCTTGGTAGATCACGTTTATAAGTAAGATTATGCTTCAGTATTCATAAACTGTAGTATTGCTGACACTGCATGACACAGTTTTCGTGGAACCAAGAGACAAAATTTTTGAGGACAGGTTTGTACAATTTTTTCAGGTAGCGACGTAACTTGATATTAGGCACTCCATGTGTGACTAGGGCGAGAGTAGGCATGGGTAGGCTTGCCCCTCATATTTATACTGTTACTCAGACTCACTTGCTGGTAACGAGCAGCTTGTATATACTGCTGCCCTCTACACCTTCAGGCTTATTTAGATTGACCTCAGCAAGTTTGCCTCACCTGACTAGTAACAAGGCTTTCATGTGTGTTTAAATCTGCCACCCAATATCGTGTTCTTATTGGCTCCTAGTTGAATGTCTTGTTGTGTAGATGATGGTGTCAGTGTTACTGACTCTTCTCCTCTGGTCTCTGGTGGAGGTCCACTCTCAGAGCTTTCCCCGTCTCTCCTTCATGGGCCAGACTCTGGCCAACCATTCCTATGTAGACATCAGTGAAGTGGGGAGACCTGATGTTAATAGTGGTGATGGTGTTCAGTGTGTCACTGACCTGGCCACATGCTGTAGTGGTACTGATGGTTCTCATCGTGGAGACTGGTATTTCCCTGATGGAACTAGACTGCCTTTCGCTGCACCTGGTGTTAATACCTTTGAGACTCGTGTAATGCAGGGAGTTGACCTACGTCGTAATGCTAATGTTGACTCACCAACTGGCATCTATCGCTGTGATATTCCAACTATTGCTGTCCATGATACTACTGACATCTCAGTGAGAGTCACAGTCTATGTGGGACTGTATACTGCCAGTGGAGGTATGAGAATGAAAGATTTTAGCATAATATTTACCGAGTTCGCTAGCAAAGGGTATACCAGTAATCTGAATTGCACACATATCACTCTCGCATTTCTCAACAATTACAAAAAATTCTCCTCCTTTTATTGGATGAGCCTGAATGAGAATCCTAGATGAAGATAAGATAGGGACATAGTACATGTTTACTGCTGTGAGGTCGATAATATTATCATCACCTGGTGATACATTACCACCAAATTTCAGCCAGTAATACTATTCACAACAATGACCCAGTATATATTTCCTTATCTTAAATATATACATACAAGTGTCTTAGAGAACCACACTTGACTTACATTATTTTACACTGTCTCATGAATTAGCGGAAAACAGGCTATAGCTATAGGTCTAGTATTGTTGGTATTGAGGCATTATATAGAACATGGGGTGATAAGTATCAGGGGCTTTGTACTAGTACTGTGCTACTTGTGATTCTGCTGCACTTTTGCTCAGGAAGTGTTTCAATATCTGGAGGAGTGACATTTGACCCTGACCAGCTGACCCTCACCTGTATCTCCACTGGTGGACCTGCTACCACTGTCACTTGGACCAGAGACTCCACCACTATCACCCAAGGAACCCAGACTGTGTTGAATGACCCAGTGACTGCACAGTACACCCACACTCTGACTGTGACTACTGCAGGACTATACACTTGTACTGTGGCAAATAACAAGCCATCTACTGCTTCAGCTAGCAACCAGCTGTAGCGTCCATATACAGTCAGTACTATGTTATGTACCATAGCCAGTGTTGAGAATGTGCCTAGTCATTGTAGCTAATATGAGCCATGACGAATACATTTTACGTGTGTGTCGTGTACTTTGCCTCAGAAATCGTTTTCACCTCCACTCGTGTGAAAACTCTAGCTGGGGTTGCAACTTGGGCAACTTAGATTGTCACATGACTCCTTGAATGACAACACACTTAATGGCAGAGACATGATGCCGTACTGTGTATAGCGTGAACCAAATGTTTGCGAACTCGGTATGGCCGTAGGAACTCGTTAGTTGTATATTAACTTTACATGGTGGAAAGGTTTGAGTGAATGAACATTGGCCGCCTAGCAATGTGTTAGAGAGTGATTCATTTGTCTGTGCCACTGCTCCTTGTGGTCCGTCATGCATTTTAATTTAGGTCCCCCCATCTCCCACTGATGTGACAGCATCCGGATGGTCCACTATATCACAGTGACTTGGACTCCCTCCCTCTCACTGGATGGTATCACTGGCTACACCATCTCTACACTGGAGGAGCGGTACAATGAGACAACTGTCATGGTGGAAACACTATGAGTCACACTCTGACTGGTCTCACCATGGAGAGACTACACCATATCCATTGTAGCTACACCAATTGTCTTTCTAGTGCACCAGTACAGGCCCTGTTGGTTTTGGTATGTTCTCTTGTGTGTTATGTAGGAATATCTCTTCCATCTGCTGAAAATGTTCATCATGTGCCACGATTGTGTGTTCTTCAATTTCATACTGATACTCTGTTTCCACAGTTCCTTCAGCTCCCCAGTCCCTCGACCAAACTCCCACAGTCACTACTCTACTGTCAACCATCAACGTAGTGTTCCAAGTGGCTCGTGGTGACCTGGCTATTTTGTCCATTTGCCGATAGACACCTCACTTGTCTGTCCTGATCTGAGTGATAGGTAGTATCGCTGTGACTATCAGTAGTTCATCCCGTATAACGACAATAACTGGAACTGAGCCTGGCAACTAGGTACACAATCACTTTGAACCAGCCTCTAATGGATCTGGTAGTTTTCCTGTTCAGTACTGCTGTTACTGCAATGACTGAGGATGCAGGTATATGGCGTACTGTAAATTCCCTATTCCTTACAATATGTTGTGTTTACCTCCACAAGCTCCCACTGTGCTCCTGGTCAAATCACTCTAGTTTACAGTCACACTAAACACATTGCCCTGTCCAGTGGGAGAGGGGGCCTTGTCCCCAGAGCACTGGAGATATCACAAACTACACTTACTGCAACTCGAAATGAGTGGACTGGAGGGAAGTAACTGCTATTGTTGATGCTGATGCTAAGACCAGCCACAATCTCTGCCTGACTCATCCACAATAGATACTGTGTCAGTGGCTTGCAGTCCACTATTGCTGTACTGACCTTCCATCCACTCCCTCCCTGTAGCAACCCCAAGGTGCATATTGCTCTGTCTCCCCACTTGCACAAATTAGTTGATCCGCCTGAAGACCTTACCCAGCCGATGTTTAGTATACTCTGTTTGTCTCATTCTCTTTCCCACCAGAATGGACTGACTGTATCAGCCCTGGCGCCTCCTCTACCTCCCGCACCGCTCATGGCACTGGAGGACAGTTTTGACTGCTACCACCCCGCCTACACCATCTCCTACTCCAACACCAACCCGGACTGTTTCAATGACTCCAGAAGTGAGATCCCTGCTAGTGGGACATCAGCACATCTGGATGATCTATGAGGAGGCAAACAGAGTATTCTATCACTGTCCCCACTGCCACTCTTACGGAATGGAGGGAGCTCAAGAAGGCATCACACAGCCACCACACTGACTGCTGGTATCAACTTGTGTGGTTTTGATCCTCTTTATTTTTAACCTCTCTCACTCTAGCTCCCCATCTGCCCCTCCTCGCTGTGAGAGTCTTAGTCAATAGTTTCCACTAGTAGCGACAGTCCAGTGGGGACCAGTGGAGTTGCAGACAAATCAGAATGGAGAGGTAACAGACTACTGGGTGATGTATGGAGTGAGGGAGCAGCCAGAAAGCCAGGAGTGTTCAGATGGTGTCGGAGACTCCAGTGGAGGAATGACCACCAGTGTCTGGACTGACTAGAAAGACATTCT